TATCTTATATATGTTCAAGATATGCTTAAAAACTATCGTCCTTCTCGTTGTCTTCGTTCGTCGTCTCAACTGTTACTGTCTTCCAAGTCTTACAATCTTAAAAGTTATGGTTATCGTTCCTTTAGTGTTGCTGGACCTTTTCTATGGAATTCACTGCCATCTTCAATCAGAGACATTTCTTCTCTTGACAATTTTAAAACTGCTCTAAAAACCTTCCTTTTTAAACAAACTTATGATCTGTAACTCTATTTTAACTTTCTTAATATCTTAATTTTTACCTTTTATTTGCGCTTAGAAAAAGTTTTATAAGCGCTTTATAAGCTTACATTATTATTATTATTAACTATTAACCTTAGTTATAAAACAAGCACAAGCGAGTCGAGTCAACTGAGTGTAGCAACCCAAAATTCACTAAAGACGAAYCCAGATGCAAGAKGTGRCTTACTCATCTGGATCTAAGTGTAAAGACAAAAACTTTCAGGAGGAGCTGACAAGCAAATGTGGTGCCCTTGCTTCTTTCAAATAATTTTGTCCCTGGCAAAGGGGCTTATGTAACGTTTTTATGGTCAAAAACGACTTTGATATTACTTGTGCTTGTTATGCCTAATAAATCATCAATATGTTTTTCAGCTTCTACATAGGCTTCTTAYATCGGCTACATCTTCAATTTATKCGAAAACTACATCCTCAATTTATGTGACAAAATTGAAAAAATTAATAGTTGAAAGAAATTCATATCTTGGTCAATTTCAATCACACATCAACGAGTCTTTGAATCTAGATTTCCATTAGTCAGGCGCGTAGCGTGGACTAAATTTTATGCATATTCAGAAGTCTGGCATATTTCAGGGACCGCGACATACATTTTGGATCTGGGGGTCTAACAAACGCCAAAGGCGGGAGTATTAAGGGAACAAATTCCAGAAGTCGTTCCTTGAAAGTCGGCCATCATCGCATTGGCTTTTATTAGTTGGCGCGAAATCGAACTAGAAATGAAGAGAATTTAAATCGTTCGGACTGTAACGTGAGAAAAAGACGTTTACAATTAACGGCTCGTATTTGATGGGTTCGCCAGGGAGAACCATACCCAGAAAGAATGCCGCTTCTCTCTTGTTACACCAACTTATCACACKGAATATATTTGCAACTTTTTGTTTATTCTCAACACATTACATGTTTTAGACGTGCTAAAATGCTTCAATGTCTCCCGATCCAGGTTCATCTGTGGGCTCTGGTGTGCATTTTCCGTACGTCCACCACTTACGAGTACAAGTGAAGCCTTTTACACATGGACAACTCCATTYACCCTGCAAAACAAYAATATCAGTTGACGTGCATTGTTGTATTTGATAATGTGTAAGAGACTGAACCTGGCAATGGTTTGGTTGATATCAATCATTCACTTTAATGTAAAGATATGAATATGAGRACCGTATGGCACTATGATAGACACGATATAGAAGGAGGCACTCCGGGAGAAAGAGCTGAGCTACAAGGCCAGACTGGGAGCAGGTCGGGGTGAAATAGATGTTAGGTTGCGGTAATAGAATAATGTAATAATGTAATAATGTGCCATGCGGTCCTCATATTCATATATTTAGAATAATAGGTATATTACATGTATACAGCCTTTTGCAAAAATTATGAGAATTGTTTAAATATCTAAATATCATAATATCCATATCCACATATTGTCCGGAACACGCGAGTTTGCTAGAATAATTCATTGTTGACATCGAGAAAATGTTCAGAACTACAGATAAGTCTGTCGCCAAAAAAAAACTAAACAACAAAGACAAGGGATTAAGGGYATCGCGCGGGATCATGCACTTGATATTATGATATTTAGATATTTCAACAATTCTCATAATTTTTGCAAAAGGCTGTACAGTATTTAGATAATAGAATAATGTAAATATATGAATATGAGGACCGCATGGCACATTATTACATTATTACATTATTCTATTACCGAAACCTAACATCTATTTCACCCCGACCTGCTCCCAGTCTGGCCTTGTAGCTCAGCTGGTAGAGCATCGGTAGTACAAATCCGAAGGTCGTGGATTCTCGATTCCCAGCGAGATCGGAAATTGATTTTTCCGACATTATTACTAAGGGTCTTTCTCCCGGAATTGCATCCTTCTAAGCACTATAACTTTCTTTCATTTCTATATTCACTTTAATGCATGGTTTGCAGTACCAACCCCTTGAATATACTAGCACGGTATTTTTAACTTATCTGCATACACTATTTCTGGATTGCTTACCTTTAAATCGCACCATTGACCGGGACGAACATGGCTCTTGCATAATCCAGCATAATGAGGGCCGTATCTCTTTAGACAGCACTGATCAGACCTACAGTGAGACTGGTCCTTGCAGAAACCCTTCCTTAGCTGACAAACTCCTGTAACGCAGATATATTAATAAAGATGATAAACAGAAACAATGAAGCGCACTTGTGTAGTTGTG